CGGGGGAGCACACCAGGGGCAAAGGGGCGGGACCAAGGCGGGCATGGGCGGGGCTAATGCGCATGAGGCGGGGCCAAGGTGCTGGGGCGGGGATTGGTGCGGAGGGGCGAGGCCAATACACAATGTTCGTTCCCGCCCCCGCCTCCTTCCCGGCGTGCTCTTCGGCGCCCCTCCTTCCCCCCGAGCTTCGCTGGGATTGGCCGCGCGCTCCGCCGGCCCCCGCGCGCGCTGCTGCCCAAATAAGGCGAGCGGCGCGCGCAGCATGCCCGCCCCTCATTGACCGCCCGCCGGCTGCCCCGCCTCTGGCGCGCGCGGGGATTGGCGGGCGCTGCCGAGAGCCCATTGGCCCTGCGGCGCGCGGCGCGCTGCCATTGGCTGAGGCGGGTGGTGGTCCCGCCCCCGCGGCGCCGTGGGCGCGGCGCGTGCGCGGAGCGGGCGGCGGTGGCGCGAGGCGATGGCGGCCGTGGGGACGATGGCGGCCATGGGCCCGCTGCCCACCATGGGCACCCTGCCGCCTCTGCCTACGCTCGGCGTGCCCGGTGTGCCCGAGCTGAAGCCGCTCACGCGGTACGAGGCGATGCGGCTCGGCCCGGGCTGGAGCCACTCGTGCCACGCCATGCTGTACGCGCCCAACCCGGGCATGCTGTTCGGCCGCATCCCGCTGCGCTACGCCGTGCTGGTGAGGGGCGGGCGAGGCCGCGCCGGGCCGGGGCTGGGACCAGGGCGGCGGCGGCGGGCGGGCCTTCGGGCTGGGTCGGGGCGGACTGGGCTGGGTCGGGCCGCGGGCTCCGGGGGCGGCGGGCTGAGGGGCGGTGGCTCCGCGGTAGTTCCCGTGCAGGGCGGTAGTATCAGGCTGGGCCCGAGCTCGGGGGGGAGCCCCCGGGCCCGCGGGCTTTTGCGGCCGGGGCGCAGAGCCCCGACGGCCGGGCCGCTTGTCGGTGAATGGTTCTGGATGCGCTGGAGCTGGTAGGGCCGCGACGCCTCCCGCGCTCCTCCGGCTCCTCCGGAGGCCTCCGTGACGCCCCCTCGCCCCCCGCCGGGGGCCGCGCCGTGCCCCATTAACACCCTGCGCCTCTATTGCAGATGCAGATGCGATTTGACGGACTGCTGGGCTTTCCCGGGGGGTTCGTGGATCGCCGTTACTGGTCCCTGGAGGACGGTCTGAATCGGGTGCTGGGCTTGGGTTTAGGCTGTGTGCGCCTGACGGAAGCTGACTATCTGTGCTCGCACCTGACAGAGGGGCCACATCGCGTGGTGGCACACTTCTACGCCAGGCAGCTCACCCTGGAGGAGCTGCACACCATCGAGATCAGCGCGGTGCATTCCCGAGACCACGGGATGGAGGTGGGACACCCGGGAGGGGTGTGCGAGCTCTCAGTTAGCCCAGGGAAGGCACCGCTTCCCTCCTGGGTCTGCCGGGCTGTCCTGGCCAGCCCGGCCGGGGAATGCACCGCAGGTAGAGCTGCCGGTGGCAGGTGCCCGCACCGCCCGTGGCATCAGCGTTAGGAACTGTGGCCGGGGTCGTGCCGCAAGCTCCAGAGCATGGCAAGCTTGAGCTCCAGCTTTTCCCGGTGTCCACCCACGCAGGGATTGAGCCCCGTGTTACCGCTCGGCCTCAGGATATGGGCGAGGGCCGTTTGCAGCTGGGGGGGATCTCCCCCTGCCCTGGGCTGAGTGCCCCGGACTGGACCGTGACCTCGGTGTGATGATGTCGCTGTGACCCGAGTTCCTCCCGTGCGGGAGGCACCTTCCTGCTCCCGGGCAGCCAAGTCCGGCTGATGGCCGGGACAGAGCGTGAGAGCCAGGGCCTCCCCCCGCGCCCCCAGGGCGCTCCGTGGGTGTCGGCAGCCATGTGAGCGGAGGCAGCGGGCTCTGGGTTGTGGCCTGGTCGAGGGGGACTCGTGGGTCAGCCGTGGTGTCCCCACGCAGGGCAGGGCTGGAGGGGAAAGTGGGACTCCCCATAGTGGCCTGGGGCAGCGGGATCCCTCCAAAGGGGCAGAAGGGGGAGCAGAGCCTGGGCTGGGCTGAGGGGCTGGGCAGGGAGAGCAGGGGCCTGAGGGTGTTTGGGAAGGGGCAGTGAAGGGGCTAAATGGGCTGAGGGCAGGCAAGGACTGAGGGCAGGCTGGTGTGGGAGGGAAGGGCAGGGCCTGGCATAGGGGCAGGGCGAGCCTGGGCCAAGGGCTGGCGGGCACTGGGTGAGGGTGTGGGGCACAAGGGGTGCGGGGCGGGGGGGCTGGTGCTGCTGTGGCCCCTGCTGAGCTGTGCCCGTGCTGTTGCAGGTGATGGGCATGGTCCGCGTCCCCCTCTACACCCAGAAGGATCGCATGGGTGGGCTGCCCAACTTCCTGGCCAACTCCTTCGTAGGAACCGCCAAGTTCCAGCTCCTGTTTGCTCTGAAGATCCTGAACATGGTGCCGGAGGAGAAGCTGGCCGAGGCGGTGGCTGCTACGCAGAGGACGAAGAAGGCGGCCATCGACCACTCCGGAGGGGCAGCAGGACACCACAAGGCGGGCAACGAGCTGGCTAGAGCGGGCAATGAGCTGGGAGAGAGGGGAGAGCACCATGGCATGGTGCACGGTGGGGTCGAGCAGCTGGTGGGGCTGGAGGGCGAGGCCGAGTCGCTGGAGTCGGTGGGGCTGGGCGCTGATGCTGAGCAGGCCGAGGGCATGGAGTGACGCCGCCGTGTTGGCGCTCAGTTAAAAGTGGGTGAGCTGAGAGACTTTCTAACTTTCCGACCCGTGGCTGGCTGCAGTGGCTGCCCACGTGATCCCACTGCCCAGCCGGGAGGGGTTGGGTTTGTCTAAAGCAGGGAAAAGCGATTTTATTTTTATGGCCATTAAACTCTTAGCGAGCTTCCCAGATCAACTTGCACAGCCCCTGCAGAGAGTTCATGTGCTTATGTGAGGGTGCCAGAGCCTTAGAATTATGCTTTGATTTCAGGGACACTCTGCTGTCAGGTCCCCCTTTCATTTGTAAGGAACAAAACATCTAATTTTTTACATGCCTCGTCTCGACTTGGACGTGGCTGTGTTGGCACTGGGCACAGCTGAGGCCTGGGGCTTCTGGTCAAGCACCTCTGCCCATGTTAGTGGCTGGGCTCCCACTCGGGGGCCTGGCACAATGAGGCAGCCATGCCATGAATTCCTTCTGGGGTGTTTGGGATGCTCATGTGGGTCCCTACCTGGAGATCTGTGGGAGCAGGAAAGTGGAATAAATGGCTTTGCTGAAAGTTTAACATTTGGGATCGTTCTTGAGGGCTGGTGCAGAGCTGGTGGTGACCCCAGAGCTGGGGAGGTGCAGGGTGGGGGAAGCACAGAGGCCAGAGGTGAAGGGCTGGAGCTGTGGGGGGCAGGAGAGGTGCGGGCTGGCTCAGGTGCTGCACCACTACAGCCCTTGAGAGTTTGGGTTGCTCCAGAACGGCTTGTGCGCCCCAGGGCTCCAGGCAGGGGCTGGGATCAGCTTGTCCCAGGTGCAGGAGCACCTCCAGGCACTGGCTGTACCTGAGAGCCCTTGGTCCTGGCTGAAATGGGGACAGCTGGTGAGGAGCCCAGTGCTGCAGCTGCACAAGGCCCCATCCATTTCAGCTGAGCCTTAGGAAGATCTGCCCATCTTGCAGTCCTGTTGGAAGGGGAGGCTCAGCCCCGGAGGAGCTGCTTCCCCTTCCCTGTCCCCCCCTGCCTGCTCCAAGCTCACCCCTAGCTCAGAGCAGCAGCAGCTCCCCCAGGATCCCCCCCCAACCCCATAGAAAAGAGAATGTGGTCACCCCACTGTGGGGCAGAGCACAAGCAGCTGGTCAGAGGCAGATTGTCTGCAGGGACAGACAACTCAAAAAAGAGGTTTGGTTTAATTGAAGACATTTAGCAAGAGGTTCTTCAATAAATAATGGGCTAAGGTGGGGACAGGGCTGACACCTCAGGACGGTGGTAGGACACACAGACCAGTCATAGCTCCCTTGGGATGTGCTCGAGTAGTGGAGGTGATTGTGTAAGGGGCAGGAGAGAAACTGGGGACACAGACACACAGCAGCCCCAGGCAATCAGGAGAGAAGAGCTTCATTCTGGTCCAGAGAAAGCAAGTGCTGAGAAAAAACAGGGGCTCGGGCTGCTAAAGAAACTCAACCAACAGATGTGTTGCAGTTGGATAAGCAAGAATACCCCAAACTGAGTCTGGAAGGGTTTCAGGGGCCCTGAGGAAGCACTGGGGGAGGAGCTGCCTGCCCAGTGCCACTGCTGAACTAGAAGGGAGCCAGAAGCCTCATAAGGGAGGGAATAGACCTACTCTGAGGGCAGCCCTGGCATCTTGGGGCTTGAAGGTCTCAGGGGCTGGGCTTTTCATCAGTGCCCTGTTTGACTCCTCATAAACACCTCTTTACCTTGTCTTTGAGCCCAGAAGGACCAGCACTTCCTAGAACAGCCTGGTGCTGCTCCCAGACAGGTAATGTGTCAGCCCCTGAGGCTGCCTGCTCTCCAGCCTGGCACTAGTCACAGCAGCTCATCTCCTGCATCCTTGTATTAGTGAACTCCCATCCAGGGGCTCAGTCACTGACAGGGCTTCCTGTGCCCATCCAGGCTGCAAGGTCACAATGTGCTTGTTGGCTCTTCTAAGGCCGAGCCTGAGCCATGTGTCACCCCCAGGTCCTGCCCAGCCCCTGCCAAAGCTGGCAGTGCCAGCCCATCTGGCATGGATCCGTCTGCTCCAGTCCCAGTTAAAAAATGAGGTGGGAATAGGGAACATGGTGCTGAGCAGGGGAAGAGCCAAGGAAGGGAGGTTTGCCATGGGAATATAGCAGGGCCCCAGGCCTGGCTGCAGCTCTGGGGCCTCCACACAGGCTGTACATGAGTGACTGTCCAGCCAGAGGGTCCTGCAGCCAGTGAGACTGCCCAGCACAGCCCAGAAGGGCCCAGACCACAGCCCAAAGCACAGCACTGAGCAGCTGGGGGAATCTTGCTCAGCAAGGAAAAGCTGTTGTGATCTGTGCACACATCCCATCCCATCCCTCAAGATCCTGTAAAGCCCAGCCTGGTGCCAAGTAAGGGGAGAACGGTTTTGGACCAGACTCTACACTCCCCGCTCCCCTCCCCTGCTACATTCCATCCTGGACAAAGGCAGAAAGATCTATACAGTATAATACATATATATTTCACTATGAAATAGCAATTTCATTCCCTGCCTTCTACTTTATGCATCCTGAATTATATGCTTCTTTTTACATCACTCTAGAGGGCTGGTGGGGCTGGGTAGTTTCTCATGCGAGGCAGTTGCTCTCCCTGGAAGTTACCCACAGGACGCACCAGCAGCTGATGTGGCAGGACCTAAACATGATTCCCATTCCCCCCTTTCCCCTCCCCCAGCTTCTCCCTTCCACAGCAACAAGGGCAGACTCTGCCCTGGCCGGGCCTGCCAGGGCTCTCCCCGTTCATGTAATGGTTCCTCAGTGCAGATCCATGAACTTCCCTCAGCTGCTCTCAGCAGCTGTGGATGGAGCAGGAGCAGCAGCTGAGCCCTCACAGCCCGGGACAGGGAGGAGCAGACTGGAAGTGAGGGAAGTGGCGGGGACAGTGCAACATGCACGGAGTGGTGACGCCAAGGGCCCGCGGCTGCGGCACAGCCACAGCCCGCCCAGCCCACGTGGGGAGCCGGGGCTGCAGCCCCAGGGTGAAGCTCTACCAAAGGTCAGTCCCTGTGGAACAGGGAGTCCCATCCGGGGGCTGGGTCACCGGCCAAGAGCTGTCATCACTGGAACCAGTGCAGAGCCGGGTGTCAGGTGGGAGGAGAAACAATCCTATGGAAAGAAAAGAGAGCACGTTTTAGGGAAACATTTGGGGAAAGTGTCCTGGAAATACCTGATATGTGCAATGGCACTGGCAGCAAATGGGGCTTCCAGTTACTGTGCTGGGACTCGGGGCCCTGCACACTGCTCCAGCAGCTGGGAAAAGGAAAGGGACAGCAGGTTCCAGGTTTGGGCTCAAATAAACAAGGTCAGAGTTTGATTTCCCTTCAGATGAAACCAGCAGGAGTTCAGCTGCTGGCTGGAGCACAGCCATGCCCAGATACCTTCCACAAGAGCAGGATGAGCTCACTCCAGGATCTCTGTCACAGAACAGTGGCCCTGGCAGGGAAGGGAGCTGTCCCCAGCACCCACCTGTGCTTCATGTGCACCCCCAGTCCATCACATTGTCCGGCTGTACTCGATGCTGCTCTTGGCAGAAATGCCAGACCAGGGCAGGAGGCTACAGAGGAGGCTCTGGGCTTGTCTGTATATCCTCTGGGGAATGGAGCACGGGCTCAGGCTGGCTAGTGTGGAGCCAATGTGCTGCAGGTAGTCAGTGGCCACCAGTTAAGGACAACAACACTTACACTGTAACTTAGCAAAGAACATAAATCACTCCTGGACCCACCCTGCCTGCAGGGACCCCTGACACAGTGGAAGCTGCTCAGCTCAGTCAGATCTGCTCCTTGCAATCACTGCCTCCACCCTTCCATCAAAAGCAGGTCTGCTCTGTAAAGGATGGCAATTTGGGAATGGCAGCCCCAGCTTGTGTGGGAAATACCGCCTCTGAGCAGCTGCCAGTTCCCTTTGCACTCCACAGAAGATCCTGTGAGGATTGCAATCCATCCACCTGCCCAGGGAGGTTGGAACTGACCAGCTACACCCGGGAAGGATCAAGTTTCTTCTCAATGATCCATTGACCTGAAAAAAACCCCTTAGTCAGTGTGGGAGCAACCTGCTGAAATCCAGGCCAGCTCAGGCTCACAGGGGATCCCAGGTCAGAGGAAGCAAGACCAAGGGTTTCTCTGCCCTGTTTGTGGCCAAATCCTGCACCCTAAAAGCCAAAGCACACCCAGCACTTGGGTCTAAACCACCACTCGCTCTCACTGGCATCCAACTTGCTCCAACCATCCTATGTCAAATAACTCCAACATCACCTTCCTTCTGGCTTCAAATTAAATCCACATCTGAGCAGGTTTCAGTTCCCACATCTACCCACACTTTGCTGTTAACTCAAAACAGGATTTGGCCTCTGCTCAGCAGGGAAAGGATATAGGATTGTCCAGGGTGGGTGCCCACCGTTGATGTACAGGACATAGGTGAAGCCATCCTTGAGGACCCCTCGGATGGAATAGTAATAGGGGAGATAGTGGTGCTGTTTAAAGTCTCTGTTTTCATAGAAGTTTATTGCTGTGTTGTTGGTGGTGAGCACGTGCAGGTAGATGGCTTTGCAGTGGTCCTGGGCAGTGGTGGAGATGTGATCTTTCAGACTCTCAAGCAAGAGGGAACCTGTTGAAGGGAAGGCAGCAGGATCACAGTGTGTGTGCAGCCCAGGCACTCTCAGTGTCAGGGTGTGTGGGGCCCAGCTGAGCCCTCCTGCACCAGGGATTGCTGCACACACCTGGAGACCCCAAATCCCACCCAGTTCTCATAGGGCCTTCTACATGGCTTTCATACATGGTCTCACCTAGGAGCACAGCTTCAAAACCAAGAGATTTTAAAGACACAAACCTCTGACTCAATAACCACAAGGATGAGGCAGAACTTTGACAACACTGCCCATCCCCAGTAGAGCAACTCCTGGCTTTGGGGGAGGTCAGTGATTCATTTTCAATGGTATCAGTTCCACCCCATACATGCATTTATTTCAAAGCCATTTGATACAGCAGAGTGTCAAAACAGGATTTCACAAGCAGGTTATTGTATTTTGTCTGCTGAACTTGAATCAAAATCTAAGAACTGCTGGGATTTTAAGATTCCTTCTAAAGGAGGAGTGGAAACAGTCTCATCCAACCTGGATTTGCTGCAGCCAGCAGGAAAAACCAGAAGGATACAGAGGATATTCCAGCCCCAAAAGACAAGATCTGAGGGTTAATCCACACCACCTCAACGTGGCATGAAGGACCCAGCAGAACCTGTACAGGAGCTTCTTCCAGCAGGTGTGCTAACACCAGGCTGAAGGATCAGCCTGACCAACACACAGGGGAGATGGCTGCTGCTGTTCCACAATCCTCAGGGCCTGGAGGACCCATAGGATTTCAGAGCAGAAGTCAACAGCACTGACTTCATGTGCTCTTGATACTTAGTGAGAGTCTGTATTAGCCAAGACCAAAAACCACTGAGTCACTGACAACAGAGCAGTTCAATTTTGTTACAAGATATTCCAGTCTTCTACCTCACAGAAATCCAGCTGTCCTGTGGTTTAAGAACAGCAGAGAACTAGAAACCAAACCCTTTTTACAAAAATCAGAGGAAAATCAGAGAAAAAGCAGAGGAAAATCAGAGCTTTAGTGTTCAGAAGCATTGCTGGAGTGAAGAGCCTCCTGCATGAAAGGCTACAGCTTCAAACACCACCAGAAAAACTCAAGAGAAAGGTCTCAGAAAAAGTAGCAGCAGCTTTTTTTGGGTTGTGTTGCTACAGGTGCAAGCTCAAAGTTTTTGAGAGAGCAACACGCTGTGCAGATGGACTGGATACAGGAAATACTGAGTCTGAGAGGAGAAAATTCCAGCAAGATGGAACTGGGAAAAAAAAAAGGATTTGGAAATTAGGAAAACCACCATAACTTTACAGAAAGACCTTTTTACCACCCTCTGTGATTATTCTGTGCTACCACTTTCTTCTTTGTACTGGAAAATTCTCTCCAGTGGCATTTTAATGGAAGGTTTAAACACTGCTCTCACCAAGGACTCTCTGGTCATTTCTTTATGTATCCTCTAAGTTTATGCCTGTCCTGGGGGAGAAAGGAGGACTTGGAGTTGCTGAGTTATACCTGTACCCACTGAAGAGACTCCAAGTGTGCACCCCTGGGCCACCCTGCCAAACCTGGCCCATTCCCTTCTGCAGATCAAAGATCCCCATCCTGCCTGAAATGGCACCAGGAGGGCAGCACTTGGTAGCAGAACACAACTGCTCTAAACACAGAGAAAGCCTTTCTGACTCCAGGATTTCAAATGGCTGCAGGAATGCTGCATGTAGCAGCAGACATTCAGAGCTGACTTGTACATTTGAGATCTAATTAGGCACAAGTTACACTATTTTCCAGTTCCCTTTGTGGCTTTCTCACAGTTTGTTCTATCTGTTGAAGCTGAAAGAGTAAAAGCAGCTCTGTTTTCTGCCTCAGGGATCAGATTGCTGTACCCAGAAAGAAAATAATTTCAAACCCCAATTTCAAACCCCACTCCTGGGTGAAGTTCTCACACTTTCAGAAGGTCTCAGCAGCACTAGTGTGAGTTTTTGGTGTGCTCATCTGGCCCCTGGGAACAAGATTGACAAAGGCCTGTCAAAGGCTCTTTGGAAATATTTGCACATTGTGTTGTGCCCACTACTGTTCCCAGTAAAAACCTCCCAGTGTAGCAGTCATGGGTAAGCCCTTCCCATAGGGATATTGCAGGGAGACACTGGAGCTCCTTCAGTCACCCCCACTGGCCACACCTGGCAAACACCACCAACAACTGGCACTTAACAGCATCTTACCTATTCCATGTTTTCTGAACTCCTTCACCACTCCAAGACTTAGGATGTAAGCAACTTGAGTGTCCACAGGAAAATTAGAAGCTAGGATATCTCCATCCTGAGTAGAGAAAGGACAGGTTTTTTAATAGAGTGCCTAGGGAGTTGCAGGAGAAAGCAAGAACCCTGTACTGGAACACCTGAAAACAAGGCTAAAGCAGGAAACTTCACTGAACAATCTTAGCTGAAGCTTTTGGAATGGAAGTTAAAATATCCAAGCATGGGGCTATTCCTATTTTCACATCATCCTCTCAGAGGCAGAACACAAACCATGCTATTTCCTATCAATGTACATTATTTGTGGGTTTAGGGACAGAACATGCTTGCTTTCTTTACCAGAAGGATTCAAAATGCCAGTTCTGGAGTCACTGGACAGTGTTTAGATCAACCCAGCAAGTCCTTGTGGCCTGCAAGCTGCAGCTGAGCTGTGTCAGCTGGAGATCCCTGCACTGCTGGGGAGGACAAGGAACACGTTCCATAGGCCCAATTGCCCAGAACAGTGCTTGAATAAGCCCTTGGCTTTCAGCTTGGCTGGAACAAGAGCCTTTTGTAAAAGTTGCTGAAGATGCAGCTTCTGACTTTTGATGAGCTTTGAGATGAAGCCAGACAGCTGAGGTGAAGAGATCCATGTGCTGCTCTGTGCTCTCAGCTCCTGTGCATGTTGGGATTATTGTTTAACCACAACACTGAGGGCCTTCCAGGAGTTAGGCACTCCCTGCACTGCCCCTGCTTTTTTTTCACGCTCTTTTCCCATGCTGTCTTCACTGATCATCTCTTCTTTCCCTCTCTGCTCCACTGGATTGTCTCTCCTGGCCTCCAAGCTCTCTGCAGAGAGGTTACCTCTCCTCAGGGATTGGGACAGGGACTGTGTAAATGAAGCAGTTTCTGCAGGAAGTCACTGGAGTAACCCCCCCAGTACAGCTAAGGAAGCTCTTAAGAAAAAATGAGGTTTGTGCTCCCACAGTTACACCAGGCATGGTCCAGCCTCCAGGATCTGATCCCTCAGCTCCCCACGAGGCCATGCCCCAGCAGGAAGAGTCTCTGTGGTACCACACACCCACCCCTGCTCCATTAGCTGGAGATCAGCATGTGCTTCATTCCTTGTATTAATTAACTCAGGATCAAGTGTCTGAACTGGGGAGGGAGAAACCCCACCCCAAACAGATCCCATCCCTATTCTCCACAGCAGGGGTGGATTCAGTCCTGCTGAAGCTCAGGGTAGTCACATACCTCTTTGTGCACCTTCGTCCTGCTCTTGATCTCTGCCACTATCATCCCCACGATGGAGCCTCTGTACGTGGCTGCGAGGGAAAAGAACTTCTTGTTGGAAGTGATATCTCGGTACCATGAGTCAGGGTACCTGGGAAGGAACCAGAAACAGCAATGGCTGGATGCAAAGCCCATGGGAACAGGCATGAGATGCCCCTCAACTGGAAACAGCTGTTGCATCCCATTTAGTGCTATGGGTTCTTTCATCTTGTAATGGCCTCCTGCCTTGATAAGAGAATTGCATTTTCATCTTACAGTTTTGCCCAGAGCTTCCACATCCATCTTTAGCAAGTTATTTTTAAATGCAAGATCCATCTGCCCTCATCCAAGAGTGTAAGGATCTCATTAATTTGATACACATGTAAAAAAATTGCTGTATATTGATAGGAAAAAGAAAAATCACACCACCAGCCTCCAGTTCTCCTCCTCCTTCTGCAGCTACTAAGGGAAACTACTGTATGTTCATTTATTTCCAAGTGAGAGTTCAGCATATCTTGCTTTTAAAAGAAATCTACAAACTCAAAATATTATGAATGCTTTTGCTGATTTGTTAAATTTTATTCAATCTTAATTATAATCTGCTAGAATCCTCTATAAACCTTCTCTATGAAGCTAAAGTTAAAAATCTATGAAGCCTACAGCTGTGGTTTCCCTGGATGCTTTAGGCCAGAAATCTGTCAGTGTCCCCCACAAAAGCTCCCGTGCTTGTGCAGTCATGGGCATTTACTAAATGTGGGTCTGGGGAGCTAGCCTGGGCCAGGCTGAGATCAGCTTTAAGCCAGACTACAGGAGGAGCAGTGATCCAAGGGAAGCACTGCTCAGTTCCCCCGGGAGACTCAGAGCAGCCCTCAGGAACAGCTCCATGACAGTTCAGTTTGGCTCTGAGGGTGCTGTCCTAGACAATGCTCCAGGACACAACTGTCCTTCTTCCTGGAGGTATCCTCCTTTCCCCACCTCATTCAGTCCTTTTCAAGAAGCTGATCCATCCCTTTAATGACAAAGCCCATTTTACTGCCAAAATGCACATACAGGAAGTTTCTGATGACTCCAGCACGCTGCAGGACAGGCAGCAAAGGACCATTAACAACACCACCACCACAGTGCACAGAAGATTCCCAACCTGCTGCTTGGCAACAGCCCTGAGGCTGCACAGAGCTGGACCAGTGCAGATTCACACCCTTTGTCCCAAGGTCCCCAGCGAGCACTCCAAAGCAGACACTCACTCTATGGGGAACCATCCCCAAAGCAGGCACTCACTCTATAGGGAACCATCCCCAAAGCAGACACTCACTCTATCGGGAACCCATCCCAAAGCAGACACTCACTCTATCGGGAACCCATCCCAAAGCAGGCACTCAGTGTATCGGGAACCCATCCCCAAAGCAGACACTCACTCTAT